GCTTTTTCACTATATATTTTATAGAACCCCCCATCCCACCTTTTCACCAGAACCCTTGACCCTGGGGCCTTAAAATTTATAATTTTGGAAGAGGCATCCTTGCATATCAAAACAATGTACTTAGTTTGTTTAAATAATATCCAGGGGCAGAGAAGAAGATTTTGGAAGAAATAATTCAACTGAATTACTATAGGATCTATATAGCCCCGTGCTAGCACCAGAACCCTTGTCCCTGGTGCCATGAAATTCACAATTTTTGAAGAGGCATCCTTGCTTATCATAACAATGTACTTAGTTTGTTTAAATGATACCCAGGAGCAGAGAGGAAAATTTTTAAAGAATTAATGCATTTTCAATATATATAATCAATAGAGCTGACCATGAAGCTTCTTGAGATATTGTTTGGAAACAAAAGTGTTACACACAGACAGAATGTATGATTTTTTGACCTTGATCTTTATCCTTTTGACTTTAAAATCAATAGGGGTCTTCCTTAGGCCATAGGGAGTTGTGATAAAAAATTTCATTGCAAAAAGCTGAAAGGCTTTTCGAGATATAGCCTTGTCAGGCTAGAGTAACAGATAGACAAATGGATGGGCAGACCCAAATCAATATCCCCCACTTTCAGTGAAAGCGGGAGATGAGAAGTTTATGATAACAACTATGACAACAACAGACAACAACATACAACAGAAAATTTTGAACAGAAAAACAAGAGGCTCATGGGCCACATCGACGACAGAAAAATTTTGAACAGAAAAACAAGAGGCTCATAGGCCAAATTGCTCACCTGAGTCAATATGGCCCTGCTGTTCTTCATCATCAAATTTCTTCTCCTACATATTCATATGTAAAGCTTTGATCACCTGTTTTAGCCACACCCTACCCACCAGGGGTCATGTTTTGAAAAAAACTGAATCTACACTATCTGAGGATACTTCCATATTCATACGACTAATCATGGCTTTGCTGTTCTTGAAAATAGAATTTTAATGAAGTCTGCCGCCCTACCCTGGGGAGGGGGGGCATGATTTGAACAAACTTGCATCTTCACTACCTGGGGATGCTTCCATGTCAATATGTCTCGCTGCATGGTCGGAAGGTTGTGTGTTTGAATCATGCCCGCGACTGACCTAAGTTGATAAAATATAGGTAGCAACTGTTCCTTCTCCAAGCACTCGGCACTTTGAAGTGAAAGTTGCAGGTCATTCAGATGAGACCTTAAAAATCAAGGCCCCTTGTCACGGTAGGCGCTGGTACGATAAAGAACCCTCACTGCTCAATGGCCCTGAGTGCCTAGTAAAGGTCTAAATTTGAAGCTCTTCACCGGTATATGATGACGTCTCTATATGGTGAAAAATTCTCAAATGAGACATAAAACAACATACAATCAATCCATGTCAATATGAATGATCATGGCTTTCTTGTTTCAAAAGGATTCTTAAAGATTTTTTCCTATATATGTTCATATGTAAAACTTTGATCCCCTGTTATGGCCCATCCCTACTACTGGAAGATGACTTGAACAAACTTGAATCTACAATACTTGAGGATGCCTCGATATCAATATGACTAATCAAGGCATTGTTGTTCAAAGATTTTTAAAAGATTTTTCCTATATATTCCTATATAAAATTTGGTCCCCCATTGTGGCCACACCCTACCCCAGGGTTCATGATTTGAACAAATTTAATTCTACACTACCTTTGGATGCCTCTATATCAATACATCTAATCGTGGCTTTGTTGTTTTTGAGAAGATTTTTAAAGATTTTTCCTATATCGTGTATATATTCCTATGTAAAACTTTGATCCCCCGTTGTGACCCCACCCTACCCTCAGGGGTCATGATTTGAACAAACTTGAATCTACACTATCTAAAGATGCTTTTATATCAATATCAAAAGGTCTAATTGTGTCTTTGTTGTTCTTGAGAAAAAGATTTTCAAAATTTTTTCCCTATATTTTCCCATGTAAAACTCTGATCCCCCATTGTGGCCCCAAACTACACCCAGGGGTCACGATTTGTACAAACTTGAAACTACACTACCTGACGATGCTTCCATATTAATATGTCATTGACTAATTGTGGCTTTGTTGTTCTTGAGAAGATTTTTAAAGTTTTTTTTTTTTTTTTTTTTTTTTTTTTTATATTCATATATATTCCTTTGTAAAACTTTGATCCCCCATTGTGGCCAGACTCTTCCCCTGGGAGTCATGACTTGAACAAATTGAATCTACACTATGTAATGAAAGTTTCATGTAAGTTTCCTCTTTTCTGGCCCAATGGTTCTTAAGAAGATTTTTAAAAGTTGACACCAAATTTTTCACCAATTCTTATTTATCTCCCCTTGGAAGAGGGCAAAGAGGGCAAGGACCTTCATTTGAAAAAACTTGAATCCCTTTCACCAAGGGATGCTTTGTTGATAATGGCACAGTGGTTCTTGAGAAGACGTCACAAAAGTAAAAGGTTTACAGATGGACAGACAAACGGATGCCAGACAAAATGTGATCAGAAAAGCTCACTTAGCTTTCAGCTCAGGTGAGCTAAAAAGTATGTCATTGTAGCCTACTTTTTATAAATATGTATTATGGCCCCAAGCTGCAACAACTAACAAGGTTTGATGACCCTGGGCCTCCTAGTATTAAAACTAAGTCAAACTACAAGGTCAAGAATAAGAGAATGAAAATGCTGGTACCCAAAGGAAGATTTAATCACAAGGAATATACCCGTAAAATACTGAGTATGAAAGCCCTTACAGCAACCATTCAGAAATTGTTGTCAAGGTTAATGTTTATCAAAAGTTAGTCAAACTACAAGGACAAGGTCATGATGTCAAAAATATTTGTATTTAAGAAAAAGGTCTTGTCACAAGGAATACACCTGTAATATATGAAAGCCCTAGCACCAAGCATTCAAAAGTTATATCCACAGGTAAAATTTTTCAAAAGAAGGTCAAACTCAATAGTCAAGGTCAAAAGGTCATAAATATTTGTACCCAAGGGAAGGTCTTATCACAAGGAATACACTTGTGAAGTATGAAAGCCCTAGCAAAACAACCATTCAAAATTAATGGCCAAGGTTAAGGTCAAATGACACATTCCTAGAAAATATATAATTTTTCCCAAGAATTTGTCATTAAAGTTTAACTTCTTAAACAAGTTTCCTCACCAAAAATTGAGATACCTTACCAGACATTTGGGCAAGATACCAGAGGATGATATTTCTTATATAATCCTTATGGGTAATCTTTTGAATTGCCAATGTCACAATTTTTGGTGTACTTATTTTTTTTATCATATTGAAAACAATTTAGAAATCACAAAAGAATGACGATTATGAATAATTTTTGACATAATACCAAGGTATACAAAATATATATTTAAGGAACGTGTCGTCTGACCTTAAGGTTTGATAAAAATTTGCATAAGTGGGTCAAACTCCAAGGTCAAGAGATCAAAAATGTTGGGTAGGATGGGCCTTCCCCAATCATTTCCCCTTGTTTAAGGGTCATATTCCTATATCTTTTTAAAACTTACTTGAAACTGAGCCAAAAACAAGAGGTCCAGGGGCCACATCGCTCACTCTGGCTAGGAAAAAGCAGAAATCAGTTCAGTCTTGAAAAGTCTCGATATAAAATTTGTTTGGAAGGGGGGGGGGGTTGATTTGAATGAATTGGAATCTATGCTTCATAGGGATGCTTTTGAATTAATATGACAAATAATGACTTTGCTTTCTTAAGAAGACAATTTTTATTGATTAATCATTTGTATTCCTTAGTATAACTATGATCCCCTGTTATGGCCCCTCTATTCTCCTGGGGGGTCATGATTTGAACAAAATTTGAATCTACATTACCCTAGGATACTTCATTTTAACATAACTAATTATGGCTTTGCTGTTCTTGAGAAGAAGATCTTTAAAGATTTTTTCCTATGTATTCCTATGCAAAACTTTGATGGCCCATTGTGGCCCCACCCTACCCCAGAGGGTCATGATTTGAACAAACTTGAATCTACACTACCTGAGGATACTTACATATAAATATGACCAATCATGGCTTTGCTGTTCTTGAGAAGAAGATTTTTAAAGATTTTTCCTGTGTATTCCTATGTAAAACTTTGATCGCCCATTGTGGCCCAACCCTACCACTTGGGGGCTATGATTTAAACAAACTTGAATCTACACTACCTGAGGATACTTCCATATAAAAATGATCAATCATGGCTGTGCTGTTCTTGAGAATAAGATTTTTGAAGATTTGTCCTATGTATTCCTATGTAAAACTTTGATCCCCCATTGTTGCCCCACCATACCCCTGGGGGCATGATTGGAACAAACTTGAACCTACACTACATAATGATGCTTTCATATAAATATGATCAATCATGGCTTTGCTGTTTTTGAGAAGATTTTTAAAAATTTTTCCTATATATTCCTATATAAAACTTTCATCATCCATTATGGCCCCACCCTATCCCTGGGGGTCATGATTTGAACAAACTTGAATCTACACTACCTGGGGATGCTTCCATAGAAGTTTCATATTTTTTGAGAAGATTTTCAAATCATGCCATTTATTTTTTAAGAATTCTTAATTATCTCCCCTTGGAAGAAGATGTGGCCCTTTATTTGAATAAACTTGAATCACCTTTACCCAAGGACACTTTGTGGCAAGTTTGGTTGAAAATGGCCCAGTGGTTCTTGAGAAGATGAAAATGTGAAAAGTTTACGACAATGAAGACAATGACGACATACAACGGACAAATTTCAATCAGAAAAGCTCACTTCAGCCTTTGGCTCAGGTGAGCTAACAAGTGAGAGCAAGAGAGCTTAATGTAGAATTCTACAAATCTGACACTACCATAAGACCACCCATTTTGAACACATCTGCATTCCCAACAAAACTATTTTTATATGGGTATATGAATGCTTGGATTCATTTCAAAGCACTTAGATATAAATACTGTGTGACATCAGAACAACACCATACTCATTACCTGGATATCAGAATGCTGTGCCAACATGATAGCTGTGTTATAGTATCCAGAACGTAGGAAATATTCCACCAGCATTCTGTCTAGCCTTTTCTTCTGCCAAAGAGGACGAGTGTGTGGCTGTAGGCATTCTGCCTCCTTTAAGTGCTCTACTCGACGTTTTATCACTTTTGCTGCCTCAAGTTCCTCGTTTATGCTTTCTTCTGCCTAAAGCAAAGCAGGATAGAAACACATTACAGCATGAAAACAACTCTTTTAAGCAAAGCAGGATAGAAACACATTAGAACATGAAAACAACTCTTTTAAATGCTGACAAATTAAACTGAACAGTTTTTAACAAATCCTGTGAGTCAGATGCCTTGGGCCTGGTAAAGTTGGATGCATGCTCATAAAACTTGCCCAAGGGGTATGTGAATTCAGTGTTGCAAGCTTCAGTATTGTTTAATTAAGGTCTTATGTCACTTTCTTGAAATATCTGTTTTGTATCTCTGCGTAATATACAACATATTAATCATAATTATCATCATCTTTCTAAACTCTTTTTCAAAATTATTAAAAAAAAGATGTGTTTGTGAAACACTGATGCCCCCGTATGGCAACTTATAGCAAAGGTTAAACTTTCTCAAATGCAAATCAAATATGTTGGTACCCAAAGTAAGGGCTTGTCTCGAGGAATAAACTTGTGAAATATGAAAGCCCTAGCAGCAACTATTGAATAGATATGGAAAATTTTTTTTTTCCAAAAGTTATGTCAAACATTTAGGTCAAGGTCAAATGGTCAAAATTAATGGTGCCCAAGGAAAGGCCTTCTCCCAAGAAATACACAGGTGAAATATGAATATATACGTTTGGCGGGGCATTTATGTCCTATGGACATATTTTTAGTTTTCAAATCATGACCTCTGAGGATAGGGTCATGCCACAATAAGGAATCAAAGTTTTATATAGGAATAAAATGGAAAAAAATCTTCAAAATTCTTCTTTTCAAGAACAACAAAAGCATGATTAATATGGAAATATTCTCAAGAAGTGTAGATTCAAGTTTGTACAAATCATGACCCCATGGGTTAGGGAGGGGCCATTTTTTTCCTGCCCCTATTTGCCATCCATATGAATATGCAAATTTTAAAACCATCTTTATACACATCCACAGGACAAAATCAATCATCTTCCAAATGATCATGATTTAAGGCTAATGCATAAAATATAAGGGAAGTTCTGGGAACCAGGGTGTTTAAACATCTTAAATATTTTTTTTTTTAAATTTGACCCCCATTTGATCCCCAGGGTGAAAATAAAAATTCTGAAACCTTACTGCACATCTACAGGACACCACCAACCATCTCCCAAAAGATGATAAGGCTACTTTGTAAAATGTAAGAGGAGTTCAGGGAACCAGGGGCTTTTTGCATAAAAAACATCATTTTTTGATCCCCATTTGACCCCCAGGGTGAAAATAAAAATTCTGAAACCTTACTGCACATCTACAGGACACCACCAACCATCTCCCAAAAGATGATTAGGCTACTGTGTACAATGTAAGAGGAGTTCAGGGAACCAGGGGCTTTTTGCATAAAAAAACATTCATTTTAATGCTCAGCTTGTTGCAGATTTTATATATATAAAAGTTTAAACTTGAGAGGTAATTTTCAATTTTTCAAACTATAAAACTGTACAACATTTGTGTTGCCATGGCAACAGATGCCTAGGTATTTAGATTTGCTTTTAAAGTTTTTTTGTATACTACATATCTTTAATAATTAGCATAAACTCTGTTGTAGATGATATCAGTATTCCTTTTGTCAAAATATTCTTCTAAAAATGTTAAAATTGAATCTAATTTTCTTAACTTATGGTGGTTTCCATGGCAACACATAGCAAGGGAAAAAATAATAGTTTTGTTGGTCAAACATCATTTTCATATATGTAAAAGTTGTGTACTATGAACACTTTTTACAACCAATAAAAGAAAACAGGAGGTTAAAATTTTAAGTTTCCATCTGAAGCTTGATGATTCGTGACATCTCTCAAGTAGATTGTGATTTTTTTAAATCCCATCCATTTCTGTTTAAAATCTTGAAAATCTTTTAGAAAGGTCTGGAAACACATTTTTATAAGACATGTTTTTAAAAGAAACAGATTATAGCAATTTCCTGCTTACTGTCAATTTTATTCATAAAACTGGCTCTACCCTATAGCCTTTGAATGGGTCAACCTACACCAAGTGTCTTGAATTTAAATCACAATAACATTAGAACGGGTACATGTACTAGCAGCATGAAAATAAAGGATAAATGCGGGCGTTTAATATTCTGTATATAGATAAAATGTGCAGTAAATATTAAATTTGAAATCAAATACACTGAATACATATATTTATTACTACGTAAGTGTTAATTATTCAATAATTTGTTGTATAATGCACGGTGATAGCATAGATTAAATATTGTACAGGCTAGCAGTCTGTTAAACCCCTGTCACATTGGACTATGTCCTCACGGTGATTGCACGACATCCATAAAAAATGCAAAACGCTGAGGTGAGTGCAGTAGAGTCTCGTACAGCACCGAGACAATGCAGCGAGATCTCCACTGAACATGGTAGGGTCGCAAAGGGTCTCCTAGAATGCCAGAGGATGGCACAAACTTTGGGCATGCACAAAATATGCACCATACGATCGCCTTCCGATAAGAACGCAGTAGAAACGTAGTATGATCGCCCTAGCAGTGAGGTGAGATCTCTTAACAACGCAGTGGGAGCTCTGTATGCACGCCGTGAAGAAGCACATGATCGCAGCATGAATGCAGTGAGTCCTTGGAGATGTCACTGCTTTTCTAAACATTTTATGGTGCTTCTAACAAGATTAATCATTTTGTGATTTTTTTGACTGCAATTACACAGAGACAACAAGGAGTTGTCACTGCAATCATTTCTACCGCGTCCGTATGTGATTACAATGTGCGTTCACGGCGTTGTTAGAGCGTTGTCAGCCAGCTCGAAAACAAGAGCAATGGCATCATATTTAATCAGCAATAATTCTAACATATTTGTTGCACCCTGACCAGGAGCATGGGAGTAGAATTGGGAAGTAAAAATTACACCAGAACTTGTTCTGTTGCTTCAGTGGAGATGCGGTGAAATTACTTAAATTTTTTAACAACTTTTCAGTGTGTTTATTTTTTTTTTTTTACATTCATAATAAAATCAAAGGAAAGATAAAAACACATCTGAATTGATATAATTGAAAAAAAAGAAGGGTTTTAATAATAAAACTATCAATAATTTAGTACTGAATGATTCAAATAGAAAATTTTCAATTGAAGAATATTTCTTGGCATCAGTAGAAGTCTTTTCATCATGTAACTTGAGTCTTTAAAAAAAAAAGTGTTACACTCCTTCTGAATATATATCCAGAGTGAGGAACGCATTGTGAACGTATTGTGAATGCAGCCAGCGCAGTGAGAACGCTGTGAAGGCGAGGTGACAACTCCTAACATGCCATGAAAGCTCTGCGGAAGCGCAGTCAACCGCAAAGAGATCTCTGCAGGAATGCAGTAGCATGCCGCGAGAATGCCATAGAAACACATTGGTCACCGTAGGGACACCGTGACATCTTCACATTGTGAAAATTTTACAGAAATTTCTGCAATTTCCCTGCGATTCCACTGCGATTTTAATAACTGTAATAACTCTGTGTAGATGCAGCTTGGTGTGACAGGGCCCTTAAAGACAAATAGGAAAAATGACATGAAAAATTAATTTAATTTTCAGTGAGTACTCGACTATTGTTCGACTAAAGCCTCCGACTATTCAACTAAGCTAACCGAGTAAAATTGACATCCCTCGTAATGACCAAGTTTTGCCCCTTAAATCAAACTTTGATGGAGAAATACATAATTACAGCTAAACTTCGAAATCTCGAACACGGATATCTCGAATACCCCGGATATGTCGAAGTAAGACCGCGGTCCCGACGAAATTTGCTTTATAAATGATTAAAATTAACCCCTCTATGTCGAACACGGTAATGTCGAATACCCCGGTTATCTTGAAGTAAAATTGTGTACCCATTCATTAAAATCACATGCGTTATCTCGAAGTCAGGATAATTTTCAGCTCTGATGATCAAGTCCGTTAGGTAAACTGAATGCTCTATTGATAACAACCACCTGTCTGTCACGCACGGGTTACCTGTGTTCCTGTGATCAATAGATAATAGCGCGATAATTATACGAGGTGTATGTATGGCTTACCTTGATTTTAATTATGCAAGCCAAAAGGTTGTGTGTATTAGTCTTATGCATACGCATGGATGACACGTTAATTGTTTTGTGGCTGGGGTACTTTATCTTGAAAATCGCTATTTAATGTTATGTGTAATATGCGCTATTGCATAGTTTATGCATATGAAAGCGAAAATTATAAACATCAATGTGAAACAAAATTCTGTAATTTAATGCAATAAGAATTTATTTTTCCTATATGAGTGCGCAGAATTTTCAATCGTCAGTACACACCATCATGTGAGCGTGTGTCGCAGTGAAGTTGTGCTATAGTGCCCTATGATTCAGCGTTGTTCTGTAGTTAGACAAAAGTGCGTGTTTCTTCTTTTGCATTTGATTTTATTACGGTAAAATATTTTCTTTTAACTGATTATACATGTATGAACATGTTTTTCCAATAAAAAAAATGTATTTATATTTCGTTTGCGTTATTCTACAGCGACCGATTTTAAATTTACAATGCATAGACGATATCCGGTTATGTATACATGGGAAACGATGCTAGCGGTTGACTTGCCGGGTTGGTAGAAGGATTATACTTCTGTGCATATTATACAAAGTTTTTATTTTGTGAATTATAAAGAGGATGTAAAAATCTTTTTAATGCTAAATACATGATTGTATATTAAAGAAATCGTAAACAGAATTTCAAACAAGAAGGAATTTTACATGTTTCTACTATTAAGTGCATGTTCACTGCACTAAGTATATTTGAAGTTCATTAGAATTATAACATATATAATATGTCGAACCCCCGGATATCTCGAAGTTCATCAACGGTCCCGTCAACTTCGAGATAACGAAGTTTAACTGTATGTTCAATAACATCGGGATATCTGCAGGCTTAAAAGCATTGAATATTTTCATCAGCATGTAAAATATGATGTCAAGAAAATGATGTAAATTCAAAATTTCCATGATTTT